TTTTTGTAGTGAGGGGCCCAAAACTGAACACAGGAATCGAGGGGCGGCCTCACCAGTGCCCAGTACAGGGGTAAGATCCCTTCCCTGTCCCTGCTGGCCACGCTATTGCTGACACAAGCCAGGATGCCATTGGCCTTCTTGGCCCCCTGGGCACACTGCTGGCTCCTGTTCAGCTGGCTGTCAATCACACCCCCAGGTCCCTCTCTGACTGGCAGCTCTCCAGCCACTCCTCCCCAAGCCTGTAGCACTGCTGGGGGTTGTTGTGGCCCAAGGGCAGCCCCCGGCATTTGGCTTTATGGAAACTCCTCCAGTTGGCCTCAGCCCATGGCTCCAGCCTGTCCAGGTCTCTCTGCAGAGCCTCCCTACCCTCGAGCAGATCAACACTCCCACCCAACTGGGTGTCATCTGCAAACTGACTGAGGGTGCACTCGATCCCCTCGTCTAGATGTTAAACAGGAGTGGCCCCAACACCGAGCCCTGGGGGACACCACTTATGACTGGCCACAACTGGATTTAGCTCCATTCACCACAACTCTTTGGGCCTGGCCATCCAGCCAGTTTTTTATCCAGCAAAGCGTGTGCCCATCCAAGCCTCAAGCAGCCAGTTTTGACAGGAGAATGCTGTTAGAAAAGGTGTCAAAGGCCTTACTAATTCAAGGTAAACAACATCCACAGCCTTTCCTCATCCAATAAGCAGGTCACCCCGTTGTAGAAGATCAGGTTTGTCAGGCAGGACCTGCCTTTCATAAACCCATACTGACTGGGCCTGAGCATCTGGTTGTCCCCCATGTGTTGTGTGATGGTACTCAGGATGAGCTGCTCCATCAGCTTCTTGGGAAATGAAGTCAAACTGACAGGCCTGTAATTTCCCAGATCATCCTTCCAACCCTTCTTATAGATGGGTGTCACATTGGCCAATTTCCAATCTGTCGGGACCTCCCCGGTCAGCCAGGACTGCTGGTAAACATTACATTACATCACAACAATGAACTAGACTGTATGAATGGCATAATCCTTATTACTTCCCCTCAGACTTCCCCCTGGCCAGCTCTGACTTTAGCCAAGCACAGCACCTGACTGACTGCTACTGTCACCTTGTGAGCTGTACATGGCTGAATGCAGCTCAGTTACACGCAAGAAACTGTCACCATGAGCTACTCCTCAGGAAAGCAAGGAAAGAGGTATGTGTCAGTCACACCAATCTCTGCCTCAACAGGGAATTTTAGTGATGCAATCTTTGGTTGCTACAGTGCTTTATATTCAGCTGCCTTGAATCTTACGATACAGATTAATTCAGACTTCCAATTTAATTGGGAGATAACTGTGTAACACAGCCCATTTCAAGCTGAAATGGCAAATTTAAATGATCAGATGAAGGATCTTTCTCTGCAAGGTTCTTGGTGTCTGCACATCAGTACCGGGTGTGCTCTTTTCACCCACACTCCCAACTGATGCAACTAAAACAAAGTGTAATTCTCTGTCTCTGCTGACACCAAAAGAAAACTTCTCTGTTACTGTCAGTAATCTAAAGGCTGCATATCATATACTCAGATTCCCAGCACAACCTTTCTTTATTCTTTTATTTACGTCATTCAGTTGTCCCCAAACTTTAGTTTCCAGGGGTGACTTCAAAACAGTAGAATACTCTCTAAAGGTCACATCCAAAAAAAAGACAGCACCAACATGCCCACAAACTTCAACCTAGAACTTCTAGATGATTAATTTAGCCCACTGATTTCAGCTGTGACACAAAAACTAACAGGAGTAGCGGCAGAACACCAGAAACACCATGAAGCATCCTCAAGCACAAACCAACCTCTCCTTCCCCTCAAGTCCCACAAGTCGAAAAGGTATTTTGCTGACATATCAAGGTTTGTTATGATTGAATTATTAAAAATTATAACTTATGCACTATTTTAGGATTCATAAGCATTCGGGGAGTTTAGATAGCTGCTTTTGAGAGAGATTAAGGAGAATTATGTACAGATCATTACAATCAAGTAACAATCTTCTGCATAAAAAACCCACTATTTTGTTGCACAGTATTTTGTAGGCATTCCCACTACCAGGAGAAAAATAAATCAGAAATATTTAAGATATAAGGATATGCTTTCTAGTGCCTTCTTTACCTCCTTATATGCAAAACCAACCCTGAAGACTGAAGATATAGCAACTGTTGATTCCTATAAAGAGAATCTAAAATCTTGTACACGCACAACAAGTTTTTGATTTTAAGGTGCAATGCCTAAGGATGATTCAGACTTAGAAACAAGTGTGAAATCTTCATTTTGCCAGCTGGGGAGAGCTGCTTCGTTTTCAAGGTTGAGCAATGTCACAACTTTAACCAGACTATGACAGTAGAGCACATATTTCTTATTCTAGATTACAAACTCCTGTCAGAGTAATTTTGGGAAGAAATACAGTTCAGTGGAATAGTCACTATAGATCCAAAAAAAGGAAAAATAAATGCTGTTTGGACCTGTTTATTGATTTGGATAACAGCAGAAGTACAGGTATAAATGCTTGTAAATTATGCAAACAAATTCTTTCCCACCAAGACAAGTTTTGATACATCTTTTAATACTAAGCAGCATGTTATATCAAGGACATTAAATAATCATTTATAAGAAATCTACACCTTCTTTCTATATATTTCACAATCAACAGTACAGATTAAAACTTTACTGAAGCTAGACCTTTCAAATTACTGAAAGACAACACTACAAGAACTTTAACTTCTTTAGCTACCGCTTTATTACCTTAGAGTCTGCCAGTGAACCATTAACAACATTGTAGGCAATGTTACCACTGACAATCTGCCTACTGGCCTAGAACAAAAAAAGAAAGCCAAGCACCTAGAACTGGTTTGCTGTCCAGGTCTTCACAGGCACAGCCGCAGCCCTTGAGACAGTCACTGCAGTCTGTCCCTGTTGTTCTTTACAGGTCTCTTTTACACGGCTGTACAGAATCACAGAGAGGTCACAAAGGAGCTTTCCGCTGCTTCTAGGTACCTCCTTTATACTCAATATTTTACACCCATGCTAGCAGCCTCTATCAACCGTCTCTTTGACATTATATAGTATTATCTGAATGACCTAGTGCTCATGCTACTGCAGAAAGACTAAGAAAAACCTTTTTCAAGTCAGACATTTTTTGTTCTAAATGCTATTCATCAAAACACAGTAATGAGTTAGGACTCTGATAACAGAGCATTTTCAACTTTAGTCCCATACACATTAAAGTCCCAAAAAGTCTAAGCAGTGAGTAAAACAGATTCCCAAAGCAGAGTAACTGTAACTTTCTGAAGGCAGAATTTAAATGAATGAATGCCTGTAACTATCAGAGAAGTTTCTCCTACAGATTTCACATTCTTCTATTAGAAGGCTAGATCTGACAACCTTAACACACTGCACACATACCTTGACTTGGTATACCTCTTGGTATTTTTCCAAGAGATGACAGGATTTACTGGAATCATTGGTTTTTAGCCATCAACACGTATTCATTCTTTCTTTTGTAAAACAATTAGTGGACCTGTTGCCACAAAGCACCAAACTCCTTCAGCATCCACCTAAATTTCAGTACTTTACAGGATTATTTCCTTTTTATCCTCTGTCCCTAAAGGTTAACCATCCTGCAGTAACAGACACATATACATACAGAAATGTACGGACCATCACTCAAAACCTGAATTTTTGCCAAACTGACACTACCAGTCAGATTATTTTAATTAGGTGACTCTCTGCTGGCACCATATAAAGAATGAAGCATCCATTCATCTTCTGGGGCTTCTTTGAACGACAAGCAGATGTAGAATGCCTGTTACAGAGTTGAATAGCAGAGCTACTGATTACATCATTGTTATTTCTTCCAAACCTCTCCTCCCATTTGGCATAAAAAATTTCCCTTAAATTACAGCATCTATGAATCCTGCTACATCACATTTTAAAAGTAAAACAGCATGATCTAAAACACTTAATCTGAATATAAAGAAGAATAAGATCTGTGTACTCATATATACAGGATTCATGTACTTGAGAACACTTTTAAAACTGAGACAATTTGCTGACTTTATTCCTGTCCTTCTCAATATTTTTTTAATGTTATAGGCTTTATTGAAGCAATTTTAAAGTCACTGTCAAATAATCCCATGCATTTCTCATTACCTGTAAATCATTTGGAGACAGTATCAGGTTACTTGCAAGGTATCTACTGTATCTCACCTAATGTGACTAATTTCATGGATGAGAAAATGCACAGAATTTTATCTAATGCATTTAGTAATACTTCAATCTCTCGAAGTTTCTGCTGCAATAAAAAAGGAAAGAAAGATGCAGCAACTGAAAATAAAATATTAATTTTTCAATACAGCTTCAACCAGATTTTCCAAATGATGACAACCCCTTATGAAACAGCAAGCACAAGTGAGGATCTTAGCCTGTACTGAATGAATCCACAAGAATAAAGTAAGCAGGGATTGTCAAGTTGTCCTCTAGCATGGTGTTACGGTCAGTGAAGAACCTTTACCGTGAGGAATTTTGATATTATTAAATCTTTCCATCATAATTGTCTACAAACACCATTCACAGAATAAGCACTCCCAATGTGTACTGAGAAGGCAAAAAAATAAACCCAAATATATAGGTGGGAGGAAGAAGTCCCAAGGGATTGATATAGATAGGAGACAAAA